TCCTATCACTGTACGTGAATAGAACCCTGAGGGGCCTAGTTATTGACGCGCAAGGATGCTTTTAGAAACGTCCCCTTAATGAGGCTGCAACTCCATATGACTCCTCTAGGTTTTACTGCGTGCTACGAGAGTACTTTCACAGTTTTTACAACTCCTCTCCATGGTGTGGAGGCGGTAGCTAACATTCCCCATGATATTACCGTAAATGGTCCCACGCTGCAGCAAAAATGATACTATAGCCCGCAGAGAGAAGGAAGGGGCACGGTGATAGGTAACGAGAGAGAAGAGAGAAAAGGCGAGTATAGTCTCATGCTGCTGCTGTCAGCGTGAGAGGGAGACAGCTAGAGAGATGTCAAAATACGGACCACAAAGGTTTGCAAAGTCCCACACTTAACCCATGACGGTGTGGTGACGACCAAACTCCTTTATTAGGGTTTCTCTGTATCACCGAGTACAAGAACTGGCCCGGCCCTCCTGAGGGGGTTCGCGAAAAGCTGTTTAGTTACTCGTAGATGAGAGAAAACTGTATCTGCACAGGGTCCATGACATCATTCGTTTTGATGTGCTCCGATTCGCGACGGCGGCGGATTGGACCAGTCAGACGTTTTTGACAGATGTTCGTTCGCTCGCTGTTGACTATGAATATTAGTGGGAAAAAAAATACCGTGAATCAGCGCAAATTGATATCCATCTGGGTTTTATGGCGTCAAAATACTTGGTAAACAAGTTTCAAACGAAAAGATATTCCATTTGGCTTTTATTGTGACCATTTGATACAGTTTTTCGTGAGCACGACGATTATAGATGAGTTCCTTTGGTTGTCCTGCTCCAACACGATGGATGATAAGTCTTCATTATCATGAGTTAATAATTAATAAATAATATAGTTTTTGTATTAACTCATGAGAAATAGACTTATATTTATGTTAAAGTGTAAAAATTAGTTTTCAGTTGATTAATGTGAATTTTTAGGTAATTATGTGATTTTATATGAATTTATATAATTTTTACAGTCTTATGTTTGAGATAAATAAAGAAAAAGAAATTAAAATAAAAATAAGAAAAAATGAGGGGGACTCGCCAGCTGCGAGTAGGGGCTTGAGTGCCTTCGACTGATAGGGGCACATGTGCACCTCTCTCCTTCCACATCATCGGTGGCCAGCCAACTATGGGGTAGAGAGTAGTTGTACATGCGTGAGAAAGAGACTTGCTTTTAAATATAACATTACTATATATTCACTCTAAAATTCAACGCACAAACAATGTGGAACTAAACCCGCATCACTTTCTCCAGAAAAGGCGGCCAACTAGCGTGGGTTCGAATCCTCTTAGAGTCAAAACTCATTTTTTTTTTTATCTGATTATCGCGACTTTCCTGTAGATCATCGGTGAAGGATTAAGTAATCAAAATCGCTAGATCATCAGCAAAAATCTCGTCAACACGATTCGTGGAATATTGTTATTAAAATTATTGAACGATTCGTGATAAAAGGATCGTGAATCTATTGAGTAAAATATCTTCAATTGATCGACGAACAAGCCGTCATCGAGAAGAGGACGATCTGCCAGAAAATGAGTCGTCACCTCTTGAGAGCGTACCAGATGCGATGAAGAACCTCTTCTTGTTGTGTGGACTTGAGGATGAAGTTCCTTGACACGGGTCCCACCTCTATTTAACTCTTCTCTGTTATGTGACAATTGCCAAAGAGCTGCAAAGTCGCTGTTTTTCCGCTATGCCAGGTGACAGCCGTCGTAGACAATTTGATGACCCATTTCATTGATATCTAAACTTTATAAGAAAATCTAGAGATTGTCTACATAATATTTGTCTAAGAAAAACTTTCAAAGCCATGAACACTTCATGACTATCCTCTCAAACGCTCAAGATTTCAGTGCATCATCGACACATCACTACTGTAACGTCAGAACTCTGTTTTCTTACTTTCAACTTAATTTTCGTTTCATTTAGTGATAATTTATTAATTTTAAATTTACCAAGATATACTTTATTTCATTACGATTCTTTTAGCTTTTACAAATCTTAATTTGATCAATTAAATCGTCTGTAATCGCTTACGTAAGAATTTCTAGATAGAACTCTATTTTCACCCAATTCGTGTTTGCCGGGGTGCTGGCGTCAGCTTGATGCCTGCACCCTTATTTCCTTTTTTTGTGAATTTTAAATATATTTTCTTTTCCTTTCTTAGTATAAAATTCATAAAAAATAGTATTCTTTGAGAAAAATTCTGAATAATTACTAGATATTATATTACATCTCTGTGATCAACCTAGAAAATTATCCCTATTTTTTTGAAATTTTTATTGAATTATACTTGATATATTTTTTAAAAAATACTTTTAATTATCTAAAAAATTATATTTTCTAGTTTTATAAATTTTATATTTACGTAATTTAATATAAAACGACTAAGTCACGCCAATAGAGGTGATTAAAAGGTAGCGGCTGTGGTGAGGTCAGAGATGGCGGTGACTTGTTAGAAATTATAGGCCGAAATTTGACGGAAGTCGTTCAACGTGCAGACATCACCCTGTCATCAAGCAAGACTTCTATCGTTCCTCCTCGACACGCGTCTCCCGATGATACCCGGATCCCTCTCTTTCCATCTCTCTCATGGAATAGGTGGGCTGACTGCACAGTGAAATCGCTTGTCCACATGCTCTCTCCCTCGTGCTGTTACGCCCGAGCTTACGTAGAATTAACTGAAAGCTTCGTAGGAGACAATTTACGGGTGTCAGATAAGGGTTTCCCACCAAGCGGGAAGGACGAGATCTAATCCATCCACGTGTTGATTTTTCTCAAGCCCAACTGACATATGGATGCATCGCTAGAATCGACATAGCTTCTCCCCAGGGCGTGGCAGCTATAAAAACCAGTCCCCGAGATACAGGAAAGAAGCAGAGCAATCAGAAAGGTAACTCAAGAGGGCAAAGAGCAAAGAGCAGAGACCGAAAGGGAAAGAGAGAGAGAGGGAGAGGCAGAGGAAGGGATGGGTTCCATCTCTATCTCGGAGAAGCCCCATGCCGTGTGCGTACCCTACCCTGCGCAGGGCCACATCACCCCCATGATGATGTTGGCGAAGCTCCTCCACTCCCGGGGATTCCACATTACATTCGTCAACACTGAGTATAACCACCGCCGCCTCCTCAAGTCCCGGGGGCCGTCCGCCCTCGACGGCCTTCCCGACTTTCGATTCGAGACCATCCCTGACGGTCTCCCCCCATCCGATATCGACGGTACCCAGGACATCCCTTCCCTCTGTGAGTCCACCATGAACACCTGCCTGGTTCCCTTCCGGGAACTACTCGCAGGCTTGAAATCCTCCGGCGATGTTCCGCCAGTCACCTGCATCATCTCCGACGGTGTGATGAGCTTCACCCTCGACGCTGCCGAGGAGATCGGGGTCCCCGAGGTGTTGTTCTGGACGACGAGCGCCTGCGGTTTCATGGGTTGCCTGCACTACAGAGAACTTATCAACAGGGGAATCACTCCTCTACAAGGTACTAAGCCAGATTCCTCTGCAACTTTGAATATTTTCATCAATAATTCATTTCTCTCTGGTGTGCAGACTCGGCAGACCTTACAAACGGCTACCTTGACACAACCATCGATTGGATACCGGGGATGCCCAACGTGCGCCTGAAGGATCTACCAAGCTTTATCAGGACGACGAACACAGATGAGTTTATGCTGAAGTTTGTCCTCCACGAGACAGAGAGGGCGTCTAGGGCTTCTGCAATCATCCTCAACACATTCGAAAGCTTGGAAGGCCCAGTTCTTAAAGCTATGGACCGCATCCTACCACCCATATACCACGTCGGACCTCTCTGTGTGCTTTCTCAACAGGTAGCCAAGAGCCTCCAGGCAATCATGGGCTCCAATCTTTGGAAGGAGGACACGAGTTGCCTCGAGTGGTTAGAAAGGAGGAAGCCGGGGTCCGTCGTCTACGTCAATTTCGGCAGCATAACGGTGATGACCAACGAGCAGCTGGTGGAGTTCGCGTGGGGCCTCGCCGACAGCAACCAGGACTTCTTGTGGATCATCCGGCCCGACCTCGTCAAAGGAGAGTCAGCGGTGCTCCCGGAGGAGTTCCTGAGGGAGGTTGAAGGCCGGGGCCTGTTAGCAAGCTGGTGCCCGCAGGAGAAGGTGCTAGGCCACCCCGCGGTAGGTGGTTTCTTGACCCACAGCGGGTGGAACTCCACCCTGGAGAGCATCTCCAGCGGCGTGCCCGTGATGTGCTGGCCCTTCTTCGCGGAGCAGCAAACCAACTGCCGGTATTCGTGCGCGGTGTGGGGCATCGGCATGGAGATCGACGGCGACGTGAGGAGGGAGGAGGTGCGGAGCCTGATCGCGGAGCTCATGGAAGGGGAAAAGGGTAAGGAGATGAGGCGTCGGGCCAGGGAGTGGAAGGAGCGCGCAGTAGATGCGACAAAACCCGGGGGTACCTCCTCCAGAAATCTCGACGAGCTGGTGACGAAGCTATCAACGGCTGCATTTTCTTTGGCTGGTAGCTGAGATATTTCTACCCTCTGGTGGGTGGTGATTCGCTAGGGAAATATACCTTTCTCATCATTCATCCGTCGATAAATCAATTAGACCTCTTAAATGCACGGGAAAACAATGCAAATCCCTAATAATAAGTATCTTTTCTGAGGAATGATGATGTGCGTATGTATAGTTCGTGTGTATCGCATTGTAAAATATAATATTTGGACAGCGTTGACATGAGGTATTCTTCGATAAAAGAAAAAACGATTTCCCAAAAGCTTATGGCGAGGGTTCGCTCTGCTTTGTCTGCTGCTCTCTAGTGTTCATTTCTAACGAAAGTTCATGAAAAACTGAAATCAATTTCAACGTTAGACTAGCGACACATCAAGACGTGTGTGTGTGTGTGTGTGTGTGAGAGAGAGAGAGAGAGAGAGAGAGAGAGAGAGAGGGAGAATCTTCGAAATTCACTCGTCAGACTCTTCAAAGCCTACACATGACTATAATAGGAGCGAATCTACGCCTACTTCTCTCTCGAGGTTTGATTCTGCAGATAATTTTAACAGAAAAAAACAAAACTCTATTGAGACAGGTTAAGTCTTGAGGTAACGAAACCCATCTGTGTCATATCAATGCTGGGTCGAGTGAACCAATTTTGAAGGAAAACACATTTGTTTCACGTAATTTCCGCTCGAAATGCATTTCAACCGCTTGCTTCGATCATTTGATATGTTTCTCCATAGAGGTCCCGACAAACCTAGATGGGATCTTCTACCCATCACGCCCTATGATGGGCGACTGTCTCTTCGTCTTCTACCCATCACGCCCTATGACAGCGATTTGGGGTTGAAATTTGAGGTGGATGCTAGGGGGGGAGGGTGGGGTGGAGATGTGGCTAGGAGGAGGTTTGGGGCTGAGTCAGATTTTTTGGCCTGTAAGATGCGTCCCAGCCCCCTTCCTCTTCTCATATACTGAGTGGGATACAGGCTCAGTGAAACGTATAGGTCTATGCGTGGAAGGATGAGAAGTGATCGAGGAAGAAAAGGCGTTCATCAGTGCATGCAACAAGGAGACTCTCTCTAAATTACTGTTAGTAACAGAGTTTTTCAAACAGGCTGATAACCATGATAATTGAAATCTCATATGATATACTATTTAGTCTGTCGTAGGCAGCCCAAAAGAGGAGAAGAGGATGAAAATTTAGAATATGTCAGCCCACCCTCAAGATAACTCATCAGTTTTCTATGACTACGAAGGAAATTCTCATGGAATAATTTATTATCGTTCAAATGATTTTATTTCCTGTTCTTTGAAGACAATCACGTCCTGTTCTTTAGTTCTGAAATGGTATTGTTGATTCTCGGGGACGGAACCTTCGCAAATTGAGAACAGTGGATACGATGCGGGTCTCAGGTAAGAGTCTGGCAGTAGATATTCGATCTTGAATTCAATACCAGGCAAAATGGTCAGTTTCAGTCGGTGTAATATTAATCAACCTCTACCGTTTTCAACTTGGTTGTCCACAACAAAAGACAAATAGATTTAACATTAAGAGGATCAGAATTTCTGGGGCTCAATCAGAAAAATGAAAAAGATTGTGAAAGGTGAATATATTAGGAAATCTCAGATCGAATAAGAATAAAATCTAAGAGAAGTTCAACAATATCCCGCTGTACTTTTTGCCGCAACGAACGCAGAAATTGGTCCAGCAACTCCCTGGAGATGGAGAGGAAATTGATACCTCAGTATATGAAAACAATCATGAAGCTATTTCCGGAACCAAAGATCTCACGCCATCTGGTTCTCGAGCAACCACGTCATAGCTACGTAATGAACTTCTGGATTGGGAGTAAGATAATGTACTAGTCCGCGTCTCTCAGTAAAGGTTCCAGATAATCGCCGAGAGATGGCTACCGTGTGGCTGTATACTGGTGGGGTTGAGCCCCAATGAAAAGTCAGCCTACTGGTAGGCGATGCCTGAGGAACAACAAGCCAGTGCCAGGGTCAAGGAAAAGGCATCAAGACAACCAAAGGGCCCTTTATTTGCTTAGCGTAAGCGTGTTGGACGGGTTGGATTGATTGCTCCTATCACTGTACGTGAATAGAACCCTGAGGGGCCTAGTTATTGACGCGCAAGGATGCTTTTAGAAACGTCCCCTTAATGAGGCTGCAACTCCATATGACTCCTCTAGGTTTTACTGCGTGCTACGAGAGTACTTTCACAGTTTTTACAACTCCTCTCCATGGTGTGGAGGCGGTAGCTAACATTCCCCATGATATTACCGTAAATGGTCCCACGCTGCAGCAAAAATGATACTATAGCCCGCAGAGAGAAGGAAGGGGCACGGTGATAGGTAACGAGAGAGAAGAGAGAAAAGGCGAGTATAGTCTCATGCTGCTGCTGTCAGCGTGAGAGGGAGACAGCTAGAGAGATGTCAAAATACGGACCACAAAGGTTTGCAAAGTCCCACACTTAACCCATGACGGTGTGGTGACGACCAAACTCCTTTATTAGGGTTTCTCTGTATCACCGAGTACAAGAACTGGCCCGGCCCTCCTGAGGGGGTTCGCGAAAAGCTGTTTAGTTACTCGTAGATGAGAGAAAACTGTATCTGCACAGGGTCCATGACATCATTCGTTTTGATGTGCTCCGATTCGCGACGGCGGCGGATTGGACCAGTCAGACGTTTTTGACAGATGTTCGTTCGCTCGCTGTTGACTATGAATATTAGTGGGAAAAAAAATACCGTGAATCAGCGCAAATTGATATCCATCTGGGTTTTATGGCGTCAAAATACTTGGTAAACAAGTTTCAAACGAAAAGATATTCCATTTGGCTTTTATTGTGACCATTTGATACAGTTTTTCGTGAGCACGACGATTATAGATGGGTTCCTTTGGTTGTCCTGCTCCAACACGATAGAGGCGATTAGAAGGTAGCGGCTGCGGTGAGGTCGGAGATGGCGGTGACTTGTCAGAAATTGTAGGCCGAAATTTGACGGAAGTCCGTTCAACGCGCAGACATCACCCTGTCATCAAGCAAGACTTCTATCATTCCTCCTCGACACGCGTCTCCCGATGATACCCGGATCCCTCTCTTTCCATCTCTCTCATGGAATAGGTGGGCTGACTGCACAGTGAAATCGCTTGTCCACATGCTCTCTCCCTCGTGCTGTTACGCCCGAGCTTACGTAGAATTAACTGAAAGCTTCGTAGGAGACAATTTACGGGTGTCAGATAAGGGTTTCCCACCAAGCGGGAAGGACGAGATCTAATCCATCCACGTGTTGATTTTTCTCAAGCCCAACTGACATGTGGATGCATCGCTAGAATCGACACAGCTTCCTAACTAAGGTTTGTACACGCGTTCCCAGATACAGGAAAGAAGCAGAGCAATCAGAAAGGTAACTCAAGAGGGCAAAGAGCAAAGAGCAGAGACCGAAAGGGAAAGAGAGAGAGAGGGAGAGGCAGAGGAAGGGATGGGTTCCATCTCTATCTCGGAGAAGCCCCATGCCGTGTGCGTACCCTACCCTGCGCAGGGCCACATCACCCCCATGATGATGTTGGCGAAGCTCCTCCACTCCCGGGGATTCCACATTACATTCGTCAACACTGAGTATAACCACCGCCGCCTCCTCAAGTCCCGGGGGCCGTCCGCCCTCGACGGCCTTCCCGACTTTCGATTCGAGACCATCCCTGACGGTCTCCCCCCATCCGATATCGACGGTACCCAGGACATCCCTTCCCTCTGTGAGTCCACCATGAACACCTGCCTGGTTCCCTTCCGGGAACTACTCGCAGGCTTGAAATCCTCCGGCGATGTTCCGCCAGTCACCTGCATCATCTCCGACGGTGTGATGAGCTTCACCCTCGACGCTGCCGAGGAGATCAGGGTCCCCGAGGTGTTGTTCTGGACGACGAGCGCCTGCGGTTTCATGGGTTACCTGCACTACAGAGAACTTATCAACAGGGGAATCACTCCTCTACAAGGTACTAAGCCAGATTCCTCTGCAACTTTGAATATTTTCATCAATAATTCATTTCTCTCTGGTGTGCAGACTCTGCAGACCTTACAAACGGCTACCTTGACACAACCATCGATTGGATACCGGGGATGCCCAACGTGCGCCTGAAGGATATACCAACCATTATCAGGACGACGAACACAGATGAGTTTATGCTGAAGTTTGTCCTCCACGAGACAGAGAGGGCGTCTAGGGCTTCTGCAATCATCCTCAACACATTCGAAAGCTTGGAAGGCCCAGTTCTTAAAGCTATGGACCGCATCCTACCACCCATATACCACGTCGGACCTCTCTGTGTGCTTTCTCAACAGGTAGCCAAGAGCCTCCAGGCAATCATGGGCTCCAATCTTTGGAAGGAGGACACGAGTTGCCTCGAGTGGTTAGAAAGGAGGAAGCCGGGGTCCGTCGTCTACGTCAATTTCGGCAGCATAACGGTGATGACCAACGAGCAGCTGGTGGAGTTCGCGTGGGGCCTCGCCGACAGCAACCAGGACTTCTTGTGGATCATCCGGCCCGACCTCGTCAAAGGAGAGTCAGCGGTGCTCCCGGAGGAGTTCCTGAGGGAGGTTGAAGGCCGGGGCCTGTTAGCAAGCTGGTGCCCGCAGGAGAAGGTGCTAGGCCACCCCGCGGTAGGTGGTTTCTTGACCCACAGCGGGTGGAACTCCACCCTGGAGAGCATCTCCAGCGGCGTGCCCATGATGTGCTGGCCCTTCTTCGCAGAGCAGCAGACCAACTGCCGTTATTCTTGCGCAGAGTGGGGCATCGGCATGGAGATCGACAGCGACGTGAGGAGGGAGGAGGTGCGGAGCCTGATCGCGGAGCTCATGGGAGGGGAGAAGGGTAAGGAGATGAGGCGTCGGGCCAGGGAGTGGAAGGAGCGCACAGTGGATGCGACGAAACCCGGGGGTACCTCCTCCAGGAAACTTGACGAGCTGGTGAGGATGCTGCTGACGCCGGCCGCTGGCTTTGCTGCAAGTTGAGAAATGTATCTCGTCTGGATGGATGCCGATTCTCAGGGGAAACGTACTTTCGTCACCGATAGATCCATAAATCAATTAAGACGGCAAGAGGTATTTACACCCCTGGGTTTGAAGGGTTATTTTCCTGTGAATGCCGGCCATACGTGTTCAAACTTCCTGTCTTTGGTGGATAAGTATATATGATTTAGAGAGAGTTATGATTTATGCTGTTCTTGGAGGGGTTTAATTAAATGTATGTATGAAGTTTATTCATCACCAAATTTCTCGTATTATTTTCATATCGTCGTCGTGTGACTTTTTCTAGTCTCAACAAAACCCATCAGATCGGGATGCGAGACAAGACGATGACGAAGTATATTAACTTAGACCAGCGAACTGTGTGGCTCTTACATCAGACTAATGAAGTTTAAAGAGTTTGACTAAGCTTGAATCGAATGTTTCCGAAATAGCTGAAAATAATTGGACGGGCGAGATTAAAGGATCGCTAGAGATTAGGGTGCTCTTACAGTCAATAAATTGATAAGTGCGAATCAAGTGGGTTCTCTCTAAGTCTCTCCACCAACTACGTATCAAGGTGGCCTATCTAGGATCACTCCACGACCATTGCCGCCGCACTGACAACCATTGCAAATTGAGATGAACAACGTGCAAATCTCTCAAAAACTCAAACCTAATATCTAAAGTTGATGTGAGAGAAACATAGGCACACTGCAAGAAGTCCAATGAAAGATTAACTTTTAGAAAAAAAATAAATTTAGAGTTAGATGTTTTATCCATCTAGGAGAAAGATGGTAAGATGAGAAATTTTCGTTCAGCAAATGTAAGCTCCCAAATGGGTCATGATCTTAGAGGTTAATTTGAGGGAGGGAGGCAGAGAGAGAGACCTATCGAAGTTTATGCATGACTTGGATATGAGTTGATCTGAGCCTATTTCTTTTTCAAGATTCGGTTTTACCATATTAGTACAAAAAACAAAACTAGATTCAATCAGGTCAGATCTTCACTTATTCAACCCATTTGATATCCATATCAATACTATGTTCAGTGAGCAAGCTTTGAAGGAAAAATCAATTGTTTCTCATAATTTCTCTTCGTGATACTTGATAAATATTTGCATCGATCATTTGATACAGTTCTCTATTGGGACAACTAACCTAGATGGGCTTGCCTGCCATCCATCTTGCCCTATTAATGGCAGCAGCTTCTTTTCTGGTAACGGCAGCTATTCTTAGTGGCCACAGTGGAGAAGGGGATCGTGAGGGGAAATAGAAGGAGGGGATTTGGGGATGGGTCAGACTATTTTGGCTTGAAATTTGATGGGGCACTTATTCGGCACATATGATTACCACTGCATGAAGGCATCCAAGGCCCTTAATACACCGCTGCAATGCATATCTAGTAGGATGTGTCCCTGTCCTTCTCATAAAATGAGTGGGAAGCCTGCTCATTGAAACGCAAAGTTCTATTTAGTGCAAGGAAGATGACTGATTGAGAATTCATCAGCACTTAAAACAAAGCAGGCTATCTCTTTGGTATGTACTTTCTCACTCTATGTGTGTGTAAAATTGCAGACGACCCATCAGTTAGACTTAGAAATAAGGTTATAACCATGATTAATGAACTTTTGGTTAGTCTATTGTGCACTTGATGTAGGACAAGATGATGAAGGACTAAATTATCCTAGAGCAGCAACCTAAACTTGACTCTCACATCAGATCTAAGAGGGTTGAAATCTATAATTAAGTGTTCCCAGAAGAACTGAAATAAATTGGATTGGTGCGATTAAAGAATTTCTTGATATTAGGGTGCTCTGCTATTAATAATTGACATGTGCAAATCAACTAAGTCATCTCTCTACTCTCGTCACCAACTATGTATGAAAGTGGCCTATCTAAGATCACTCAACAACAATATTACAATATAGTATGCTAATAGAACAAAGAGTTGAGACATAAAAAGAAAGAGTTTATAGATAACATTGTCGTAAAACATACAACTGCTTGGTAGACCACAGGAAGAAGCTAGGTCCCCTTGTGTGTGAGCATTGACTGTTGACCATATACTTATAGTTGACATTAGTTTGAATGTTGACATTAGTTTACCATTGACCGAATAGGTAGATCATTGACAATGTTGACTTGGCTGTGGGTGGACGTGCTCGAACCGGGTGAGTTAACTAGCATGGATCAGGTGGTGTGGAATGTTTCAGACCAGCGAACTGACAATCCAAGATGATTCTAACCGTAAAGATGGGTGACTCTAACCAAGCGGTTGAACCGGTTTTGGACCTGGTAGGAGTGGGCGGATAGGTCAGGTTAAAACGGGGCTGGTTCAGACCTGCAGTGCATAACATCACGAATGGTTAAACCAATGAGGAGGCCGTTCAAGAAAATGGGCGAAAGGGGCGAACAGCGGTTGCGGTGGACGTTGGGAGAGGGCGGTGGTGATGGCGGCAATGGTGGTGGCAGATGGCAGCAATGGCATTGACGGCAGTGGATGATTGCAGGGGATCTGATAAAAGCGGTGGATAGCAATGGTGAGGGTTGGTGAAATCGGTGTTTCTGGAATGGGAAATCGGTTGAGAATGGTGACATTGTTGATCGCGCGATAATCGACGCAGAGGCGCCACGATCCGTCCTTCTTCCTGATGAGAAGGGTTGGGCTTGAAAATGGGCTCTAAGAATGCCGAATGATGCATGAGGACAGCATTTCTCAGACCTGCTTCGCCAACTCATTTTTTTGGTAATACGAGTATTTGAATGGCCGAGCATGCAGTGATTTGGTTCCTGGCTCTAACGGAATCTGTGATCCAGCCCGCAGCTAGGAGGGAGGCCTGTGAGGTCTGCAAACACCTCTGGAAAACGTTATTGCAAGGTAGTCGCCAATGACGAGGGCTCCGCTTCGATTTTATATCCAATGAAACATCATCTACAATTCGACCTATAACTGTCGAATGTGACCCACCAACGATTATAGAGTAAGGAAATTATTGGGCTCCGAAGCTTCTTCCTGTAAGGTGATCTTTTTTATTCCAGCTTGAAATGAGAGGGTCCATGCCTCGAAATCCATTTCGATCTTCCAGCGGACCCTCATCTATCTAAGGCCGAGGACGACGTCCACATTGGCCAAGGGAAGGACCAAGAAGTCCTCACAAATTTTCAGCACCTGCATGTTGATAAGAACGGCGCAGCAGACATCTATTCCAAGTGTAGAAAAATGAGAAGTAGAGAGAAGTCTAGGCAGAAGAGAAGGAAAGAAGAGTAGGGAATCTCTCGTATGTATTCCTCACACGCCGAAATGCTTACAAGGATCCATATATATAGAAATGGACCGCTCGGGGTCGGGAGGGCGAGCTTAGCTCTGCTAGTGCAGAAATAGATTTCTCTCGATGTGCTGAGCGGCGGCCATAATAGCTTCAAATCCGGTCGGATTAAGGGCGTAAACCTCAGCCTGAATATCCTTGCGGAGGCCCTTCAAGAAGGTCGCCTCGAGGATATCTTCAGGGATATTTCTGAGCACTCCAGAGAGTAACTCGAAATCCTCCCTGTATTCGTCAACCGTCCCTGTTTGTGACAGCTCCAGTAATTGTTGACACAAGACGTTCAACTGAACCGCGCTGAAATGCCACAAAAGCTCGCGCTTCAGATCGTCCTAAGACCTAAATATTCCCCAGAATGTCCTGCAGATGATGGTTGGGCGGCGTAGTAGGTTGCTGGCTGGATTCTCCCGCACCACACTCTGTTGGCAGGTCTGGAAATGTCCTCGCCTTTCCGGCCCGTCCTGGTGAGGGTTTAACTGAAATTGAAGCTGCTCTAGGGACTAGGCGATGGCCCCAAGTTTGTGTTTGAGCGCCAACTGCTCCCAAGTGTTCCGCTTAATTCCTTGTTGAGGAGTTTAATGCATCCATCTCTTTCTCCAAGCTCTCTAGCTTGGGGTCGACCGCTTTAGGCCCCATGTGGACTCAGTGTGGCTCTGATACCACGTTGGTAAGTCCCCCAACTGACATCAATGGAAAGGAGGCAACGGAATGGAAAAGGCGGTGAAATCTTGTTCCACTGACTCCCAGGCCCCAGACGCTGAGGGAGAGACACAAGGTGACAAGTGGGCAAGGACGGTAAAAAATGGGAAGATAGATAAGGTAGCCGCTCAGGGCCCTCGGTTGGCTGATTTGAGATAGACTCTCCTCTCTCCACTCGGGAATCCGTTATCCTGGACTCGAGCCGGATCCGGAGTCCGTTACTGACCCCGCGCATTGAATGATCTTTAGCGTGGAACGGCTGTATACATACCAGCCGTTCTCTTGCCACGTAGGTGGGGACTAATGGCCAGGATCTCAACAGCAACCTAACCGGGGCGACGGGATCAAATCTTATCCAGCGGAGTATTCTCAAAGATCGTTCCCTAGAGACCAACCCCCAATAATAGACATTCGCTGTATGTGGCACTGTTACGACGGCGATGCGATAGACAACATCGGGTTCGAGTCCCGCCGTTTCGCCTTGATCTGTACATCTTGCGGGCTCTTTCCCTGCATGACGAGGATTAGCTGGCGAGCGTTGCACCAACTAACGTCTAGCGGGTGTCTCGGTTCGCTGGCGGACTGTAGGCGTGTCAGTTTGCTGCTGTCCAGGAGCTCCCAGCGGCCGTTTGTTGGCTGGGCTGCCCCAGAGAGACAGAGAGAGATATGAAGAATAGTTTCATTTTAATTACCATAGATAATAAATATTTGACTGTATGTTACATGCCCAATACTAACTCCACGGCTGTTTGAGAGGTCCCACGTACGCCCCATGATGGTGTTGTGGTTAAACTGCACCATTCTCGGGGCTGCTCTGCATCGCGGAGTACAAGAACTGGCGCCCTTTCCCATGTGGCAATTGCCAAAAGCTGTTTAATTACATGTAGATTGTGAGAAAAAAGCGAGATATATCTGTATAAAGCGAGAGAAGCCAGAGGAAAAATTATTAAAGACATGAGGTCACCGGTTAGACGATCTGTGAATGTTCTTCCTTCAAAACGAAATTATGAAGTTTAGTGAGAAAGAAAACTGTCATTGAACCAACGTAGATTGACATCCATATGAGTTTTACGAAGAGTCAACTAAAAGACTCCTAGGAGACTGAACTTGGCGGTGTCCCGCAGTTTGGGTCTCCAACGGAGTGGACAGGACGAGATGAGCCGTCGACTTCGTGAACGCTACGGCGGCCACGTCGATTTCCTGAAACCCGTGGCGTAGTAAAAGGTTAACCCACGGACATATCAATTCTCCCCCAACGAAACAAGCGGCCAACAAGAAACACCCAAATGAAAAGTACCGGACAGGCAACTCGCACGGCCAAGAAGCCCAACTTCTAAACGTCGTCACTCTTCATATGGTCCCAAGCCCCTCTCCGCAGAGATTATAAAAGTCAGGCCGGCGAGAAAGAGGATAGACGCAGAGCTACCCGAAAGATACAGCAAGAGGAAAAAGAGCGAGGGGGATTCAGATACCAAAAAGCGGAGACGAAGAAAAGGGTAGTGAGAAAGAGAGAGAATGATGGGTTTCAGTTCCTCTGCCACTGCGAAGAAGCACCATGCCGTGTGCATACCATTCCCAACACAGGGCCACATCACCCCCATGATGATGTTGGCTAAGATCCTCCACTCCCGGGGATTCCACATTACATTCGTCAACACTGAGTACAACCACCGCCGCCTCCTCAAGTCCCGCGGCCCGTCCGCCCTCCACGGCCACCCCGACTTTCGATTCGAGACTATCCCCGACGGTCTCCCCACATCCGGTATCGACGGCACCCAGAACGTCCCTTCCCTCTGTGAATCCATCATGAGCAACTGCCTGCTCCCCTTCCGGGAACTACTCGCCGGCTTGAAATCCTCCGCCGATGTTCCGCCGGTCACCTGCATCGTCTCCGACGCCGTGATGAGCTTCACCCTCGACGCTGCCGAGGAGATTGGGGCCCCCGAGTTCTTGTTGTGGACGGCGAGCGCCTGCGGTTTCATGGGTTACCTCCACTACAGAGAACTCATTGATAGGGGAATCACTCCTCTAAAAGGTACCAGGCCAGATCCCTCTGTCACTTTTAATATTGTCCTCAATAATTCACATTTCTCTCTCGCAGATCCAGCAGACCTTACAAACGGCTACCTCGACACGCCCATTGACTGGATACCGGGGATGCCCAACGTCCGCCTCAGGGATCTACCAAGCTTTATCAGGACGACGAACCCGGATGCGATTTTGGTCAAGTACGTCATCCGGGAGATGGAGAGGGCTTCTAGGGCTTCTGGAATCATCCTCAACACATTCGGAAGCTTGGAAAGCTCAGTTCTTAAAACCATGGAGCGCATCCTACCCCCTATGTACTCCATCGGACCACTCCCTCTGCTTTCTCAACAACTGACCAAGAGCCCGCTGGTAGCCGTGGCCTCCAATCTTTGGAAGGAAGACACCAGCTGCCTCGAGTGGCTACAAGGGAGGAAGCCGGGGTCCGTCGTCTACGTCAACTTCGGCAGCACAGCAACGATAACCAACCGGCAGCTAGTGGAGTTCGCGTGGGGCCTCGCCGCCAGCAACAAGGACTTCCTGTGGATCATCCGGCCCGACCTCGTCAAAGGAGACTCCGCGGTGCTCCCGGAGGACTTCCTCAGGGAGACGCAAGACAGGGGGCTGCTATCGGGCTGGTGCCCGCAAGAGAAGGTGCTAGGACACCCCGCCTTAGGCGGTTTCTTGACCCACAGCGGCTGGAACTCCACCCTGGAGAGCATCTCCAGCGGCGTGCCAATGCTGTGCTGGCCATTCTTCGCCGACCAGCCGACCAACTGCTGTTTCGTGTGCGGGGAGTGGGGCATCGGCATGGAGATCGACGGCGACGTGAGGAGGGAGGAGATACAGAGCCTCGTTGCGGAGCTGATGGATGGGGAGAAAGGTAATGAGATGAGGCGACGGGCCAGGGAGTGGAAGGAGCGCGCACTCGATGCGACGAAACCCAGTGGTACCTCCTCCATGAATCTTGACGAGCTGGTGAGAAAGCTGTCAACGGCTGCCACTGGATTTGCTTGAGACTGAGATATTTATGCCCTCTGGTGGGACCTGACTGAGATATCTACCCTGGATCAATAAATCAAGAAGAGTATGCCTCAATGTTACAACGACTTGTATTTTGGTGAATCGACCCTAGATCAATAAATGCTTAGGACTGCGGTCATAAACAAAGAAGTATTTACCTCGATATTACAGGTTTCATTTTTGGTGAATGATGCCGTAGGCATTCAAGACAGATTATTTGGTTACCGTTCTTGCTTTGAGAATTCCTCGAAGAATTCCCAGATATTACAGCAGCTTGTTTCTTGTTTTGAGAATCTTCGAGGCCATAAGGCTTCGGGTTCTGACTCGTTTCGCATTGGGTAATATTGATGCATCCCGAACTAGGTAAGCCCACATAAACCCTCACTGGCTTCCTGATGAAAAGCTAGAAAAAATACTGTGACAAATATATTAAGAGTGGAGCCGGTGGACGGTGGGCTCTCTCAAAGAAACCCTCCGGGACGAGCCCCACCGACAGCCGGCCAGCGGGGCCGGAGCGGGACCGCCATCCCGGAGGCTCAGAACAGTATGCAACGGTGGAAATAACTTCACGACGCCGACGGGCAATACCAAGTGACGTGGAGCTACTGTAGAAGGTTGCGAATCACATGGGGATAGATCTCAAAGTAAGAATACGCGAAGTTGGAGTCGAGACTTAGTAATGGAATTTAACAACGCGTCATCTGGGTCAATCGTCAACTTTCACAAAGAAAAATATTATATGCCATGTGAGGAGGTTCTTTGGGCAGGGAGAGGATTCAACAAGCCCCAGATGTCACCTACCGACTCATTTTCTAGAAAAGAAGCCCAAGATCTCATCTTTTTTTAAATACAGAAGAGGGAGAGATAGAGAGATAGAGAGAGAAAAACAGACAGAGAGGATGTCATGACTTGCTGCCATCTTCGGATCACTAAGCTATTTTTTGATGATAGCACAACGGTAGCAATAAACAAGGTAACATTATACGGTGTAGAATAATGCATGAAATTTTATTCTCAAATGCTTATATATTATTGAATTAGAAAATTAGATACAGTCTCCAATAACTTATTACATTTGGATCAACGGATCACTGTGATTGGAATCTCTTATACGATCATTTCTGCAACAAATTACCTTAAGACATTCCTCACTCACTAAAACCTAGAAAAGGAGTATTCCCATCTTGTCATTCCTTACAGCTTAAATGATAGCCACACAAACTTTGCTGCCAAAAAAGGAGTATTCACATAGGAGATATACCAAAGCAACATGTTGTCAAATCCAAACAACTTTGTAAAATGACTCCCCATGATAAACATATCATCTAGATCACATCTTCCTTTTACATTTCCCCACTTTCGCAACATGTATCTAATCATCACTTTAGAAAAGCTAAAATGTTCATGCTGCAGCTAGATGCAATCATTATGCTGAGCTTAGCTTCAATTTAGAAACTAGCACAACAATTGCTTGCACCTCCCTTATTGTATCACCTACTTAAATCCTGGTTAGATATTTATGGATATACACTGTGTTTGTAAAGAACCTATATTTATGTCTAGATCAAATTATCCATAATATCATGTCTGCATGAACTTTTTATGAAAAATACTAAAATAAATAGATACTATTTTTTCTTTAAAATAGTTGATAAAATAATATAACATAAAAATTAATAAACACAAAATTGGTCATTCAAGAAGAGTCACTTACCAAATAATAAGCTAGTTGATTTTTCTCCTTCTTAGAATAAAATGTATTAGTTTTAATGGTGAAATAACATCAATTAGAGCCTTTGTTTTGCTAAATCATTTCTCATGCCTTGCTACGCATGGAGTCAGATCGCGTCGGAGGACAGTCTTCTCTTTTTGGTAGGACATGCTCCTCGAAGCCCGAGGTGCTCATAGACTTGAGCGACTCGACATACCCTCTTTTTTTTCTTTTTTTTCTTTTTTTCTTTTTTTTTTTGGCATACCCTCTTTACGCATACACCGCACTCCACTACCGGCCCCTCCACGACAGTGGCGTATTGCTTGGAGGAGATCAGGGGTGGTTACTATTGGTCGCTGAAGACCACAATGGAGATACAGGTACGTGTTTTTTTTGTTTCTGTTTTCAGGTTTATCACAAGCCACAACTATGACATCATCATGGCGCTCATCCCATACCACCAATGTGGAATGCACTTTGCCTATCTGCACAAGACGGACAACAAGGCACATCATAATCCACTCGAGTACACTACTTCCAATCATTACTCTCCTCATAATCACCTCACATTTACTATCTATCACCCTCAAGTAGTGAGTACATAGAACTATCAGCACATGCTGGCATTTGCCCACTTTTGAACTATAGGTCTATAGCACATCAGACCTGGCAAACTAGTTGTGAATTGTCAACCTAGCACCTCTCTCAAGATCTCATTAGTACCATCAGCCAGCTTGAACTCATGAGAAGGTAAAGATCTATATCCATAAGATTGACCCTCTCTCCTCTCTCTCTCTCTCGATTCTCTATTTCTTTCTCCCTCCCTTTCTCTCTCTTGAAAAAAAAAGAAGAGATAGCCTACTTCTTTTCCCAGAATCACTAGCCCATCATAGACAATTAGTGGAGGGTGAGGGAAAGGGCCCTCAAAAAAAAAAAAAAAAAAAAGCGAGCAACCTACTTCCCTTCCCCTAATCACTAGCCTAATACTCCAAAAAGAATTACCCTTGTACACCAAATAATGGGCATTAGTGGAGGGTAAAAGGAGAGGCCCTCAAGGAGAGAGAAAGAAGAGAGAGAGAATAAGAGAAAAAAAAAGAGTTAGAAAAAGAGACCAAGTCATTCCTCGTGAGATGAAAGGTCCTTTACCTACTTAGAGGAAGTACGGCAACTGATGGTACTAACAAGATTTTGGCCAAAGAGATTAGACGCATGCAACACTGGGAAGGCAAGTTCATATTTAGGGTTATTGTCATGCTTCAGCATAGTTCTATCCTCCTCACTACCCTAACAACTATTTTCTCACCACTTTATATCATATTATTTATTTCTTAGAACCACTTACTGCAGCAAACTCTTGTCTTGCAGGAACACCTCATGGCGCACAACATGAAGGTCTACACGTCCTACTACTGCTGAGTGGATCTTCCAACTTCATGAACTCAATGGCTCTTCTAGCCCAATGCAAATCAACCGTCTTCTTCAAACATTATGAGCGCACTAGAGTCTATCTCCAGTATTATCACATCCCCTCTTCAAAAGAGGTCTATAATCCTCCATGTCATCTTCGCCCTTTGTGCGAATGCGATCCCACTTATGTAACCTCAGAATGAGGTCAAACTTCTAGCACTCAATCAAATTTCTTCATTTCAAAAAAAAAAAAAAAAAAAAATCATTCCTCATGACTTTAAATCACAAACTTAGGGCATGGATCTTGATATAGGCTGTTGAGTTAAGGATTAACCCAATAAGAGAAAATATAATTTTGATGTTTTTTACACAATAAGTTAATTATCTTGAAATTAATGATATTTGATGTAAATTGAATTAAGATTGATGTGATCAACTTATTGATGTTTAAATTTTTTAGATAGTTATCTAATAAATAATATCATATATTTAAAATTATATTAATTTTTTTAGTAATAATCTGAGGTCTAATATCATGTAGCTAAAATTATATTTTATTTCAATTTTTGGTATATATAGGACTATTAGACGATTTGGATATAAAGATAATTAAATATCTATATATGGTAAATATGTTATATTCATATGAGGAGGTTACATGTCTTATTTTTTTTGGATTTAATGGTTTTAATAATATAAATATATGAGTAACCAATACAAAGGTCTTTGAACAAAGAGTCAAGTGAAATTAAATTTCAGAGAGAATTATCTAGGCATTGATTTGATATTAATTTTTTAAGATTACTGATTTTCTATATTTAAGAAGGGACAGAATGATCTAGAAGTATGACCTTTCATATTTATAAAAAAAATCTCAGAAAATATCTGACAAATATAGACGTGGAGACATTAAATGGAAAGCTAATTAAAAGAGGAATTAAAATCTGAAAATCATTCCTAAATTTTCAAAGTATCAAGAGAGTTATAAAATTTTCACACTTTACAATTACCTTTTTCTGTATTTTTCAAGATCTGTGCTCAGCCTATTAAAGGCTGTTTTAGTTCAACCATTTGACTTGATAATGGCCAAAAGAGAATGATCCAGCTTACCTAGAAATAAGATAGTATGTCCAAAATTAGGCCAAGAGAGAATAACATAATTTTCAAGTGACTGTTGTAGTATCAACAATGATTATTTTCCTCTTTATCAACCCATTTAAAGTCTCCAAGAATCAAGGACAAGATTGCTTACTTCAAGGAGATGTGAACATCTCTTCAATCCTCAAGAGCTTCCTCCTGCAGCTTAATATTAGTGACTAAAAAAGAAGATTTGAAGGATGTGGTAAAATTATTTTATATTATTTATTTATTTCTACCTCAGTTTGTGATGTGTGGACTGGTTGAGATACTTGTGGTGTGGCCATTAATGCAGCCACAATAATTGTTGTATGTCAACTGGTTGAAACACATGTGGTATGTCATCAATGCAATCACATAGTCCATTCTGGCACCTATGGTGTGCTTGCAACAAAGAGACCTAGGGTCATAAGAGCTCAAGGGTTAGAATTCTAAATTAGTTGGCTGCAAGCTCACAAAGCTTAAGAATATAAGGGGTTCTTGATTCTCTTAAAATCAAGGGTGTATTAAAAAGGTGAAATAGTAGAATCGAGGTAGAGTCCTTGAAAGTGAATGTAAAGTCAAAAGAGTTGATCAAATCACTATAAGATCTAGAGTGAATTATCATTTGTTAGTTTGTTTTCTATTTATATATTAATATAGAGATATAAATGATATATTCATATATACAAAATAAAATAAAATATATTTAATAAGAAGAAAAATTAAAAGTCAATTCACCCTTCCCCCTCTTGAATTA